CCATTTCCGGTTCCACACGGTGGAAGGGGTGACGGCCTCTCTCAGAGTTCAGTTCAGACAACATCAATCGTCAGGGCCTACCCCCATAGTCTAATCCTAATCATCTCCCTAATCCATACCTGCCAATATGGTCGCCTTGGGAGTGAGGAGGGGAGGAGGGGACAACCAACCAGACTGTGGGAGTCTTTCCATCTGGCTTCCGTCTCTATGGCCATCGGAGTGTGCTCACACCTTTGCAAACACCTTTCCTGTTAAGTTATGCTGTGGGCATGTTGGGCCTTTTGTTTGCTTTTGTGGGTGTGTGGTGTTGGGAAGGGAATCTTGGGTCCTGCTCTGGGCATGCTAGGCAAGTCTCTAACATTGAGCTCCATCTCCAGCCCTGTTATAAATCAGCCTCTCTGTAACACACAGTTTCTATATCTAAACTTTCAAATGATTGTCTTACGTCTGGATGGTTACATTAGATCTAAACACTTAAAAGAAACACAGGCTAATTGGCGCATGTGATATAGGCCATGATGAAGCCTGGGGACATTCTCACTGAATAAATTAATTGGCACTCCGAGTGAGTTCTTAAAATTACTTTTGTGTATGTGCGGCTGCATGTGTGGAGGTCAGAGGACCACTTTTTGGAGACAGTTGTCTCCTTCCACCATGTGGGTTCTCGGGACTGGATCCAGGTCGTCAGGTTTGGTGGCTAGCTCCTTTACTCACTGGAACACCTAACTGGCCTGCCACTAAGTAAAAATAAGATGAAAAATAACAATTTTTTTCTTTTTGTTGTATAACGAGCACAAATAATACAATAATTACTTTTATAACAAAAAACCCAATGTGGATAAAAACTTTCATGGAAATACACTGAGTCATCCGATGCTAAAAAGCATCTCTCCAAAAATGCCATCTGAGTCATTCTTGAGTTTGAAATTCAGAACCAGGAATTGTGGGGACACCATCTGCTGGGAGAACATAGCAGAGCTGTGTGCAGGCTTTGTAAAACAGAGGCGGCACGGCTCCTTTGACCTGGGTGGGGTGGAGGGAGAAACCACTGACCAAATGTCTCGGGGTCCCTCTAAAAACACAACCTGAAGCAAACTTTCCAGCCTGGACCAGGCTTGCCTTTGTAGTGGGATGTTTCTGGCCAGATGCCCACAGCCAACAGCATCAGGTAGGCTCCACAAGCTAGCTTTGAACTGAAAAACCTCAATACAACCCCCCCTTTTTGAGACTCAGAAGGTTGCCTCAGTGGAAAATTCCCCAAGGTCCTTTCCCCTAGACAGGGAACAAGGTTGAATTAAAAAGAACATCGGGTCCAGAGTGCTAAGGAAGGAAACCGGCAGGCTGTAGAGATGAGTGCACACCTGACCTTGTAGTTTCTTAAGGGAGGATCAGTTATTCCTGCGCTTCTGACAATCCCCTATTGCTTGCCCAGATCTGCACCTGCAGTAGCTCCACTCCTTACAATACCCTATTACTTTGCTTGCCAAAGTATGTATATAAAAAGAAAACTGCCCTAAAGACCAGCACGTTCAGTTAGCTAAGGCTGCTGAATCGCCCACAGACGCCTGTGTAAAAAATTAAACCTCTTGTGGTTGCATCCAACTGTCTGGTTATTGAGCTCGTGACGTCACCGGGGAATTCAGCCTGAAGCCCGCTTACTTCCGGTCTTTCAGCACTACAGTGGCATTTTGATTTAGAGTTATTCACATTTCAGAGATGAAAACTCATAGTTACAGTACTTGGGATCTGACAGCTACAGAGCTGGGTGTCTGAGGGTGTGCACATAGCTGGGCTCTCCTTACCTGCCCTTCAGAGCCTGAGCTTACACAAACAGCTTGGTCAGTTACTGCTGTGAATCGGAAGTCGACGCAGGCCCAGAGTGTGAGGGACCCATGGAGGAAGAATTCAAGGTTGGCCAGCCACGGTGGGGCCTGAAGCTCTTGTAAGGCTCCTGGTCGGTTGGAAAAGTGGGCATGGAGACCAGGAGGTAAGCTGCTGATATGAACATCTCAGCTAACTCTCCTATGAGTTGGATTTATGTGAGTTGGTCTTCCGGGTTCCAGTTACCCCTTCATAAAGTGACAACTGATCTTCTCAAGACGGGGACACCATGCATGCCTCGGGATAGTGCCACCATCTGTACGGTCCAGTAGCCCTTTCCCTACAGCACTCCTGGTCAACTCTGCTTGGTTATTCAAGCTCAGCAGCAGTTCTCAAATGCTGTGGCTGGACAGTTTATCCAGAGGTGCTCACCCAAAGAATGTTCAGCGTGTGATGGCGGTCAGCTTGACCACATCTGGAATGAACTAAAACTCAAATGGCTGGGCACACCTGAGAGAGGTTTTTTTTTAAATTATTAAATCATTTGAAGTGGGAAGACCCTCTTCTAATCTGTCTGTGAGGTGGGAAGATTCCGTTAATCTGGACCACACCTTCTGCTGGCAGCCTGTATACAGGATACAGGAGGATGAAGCTTGCTCTCTTTGCCTGCTTGTTCTTGCCCTCGATGGCAAGTCCACACACACACAACACATACACATACTACGTGCTCAGCTAGAAGGAACAACTAGCGACTTACCCTTACAGAGAAACTTCTAGAAGTATCAAGAAGGCAGTCCGACACATTCAAATCCAACACATACCCCCATCTGCCACTCACATGAAGTCATGAACCTATGGTGGTAACGTGTGTACATACCTGGTGGTTGTCATTACCGTGCACTCACTCTGTGGCTTTGTTTATTCTGTGGCCTCTGTTGACTTGTTCATGTATTAATACTAGTGGTCAGCTGTGGATTGCTTGATGGAAATTCCTTCAATGAATCATGACAACAGTCCAAAGAGGGAGATGCTGCTTTTGTCTCCAGAGCTCACATGTGTGTGGGTGGTGGAACCAGGCTCCTGCTCTGGTACTCAGGGCTCTCTCTCTCTCTCTCTCTCTTTCTCTCTCTCTCCCTCCCTCCCTCCCTCCCTCCCTCCCTCCCTCCCTCCCTCCCTCCCTCCCTCCCTCCCTCTCTCTCCCTCTCTCTCCCTCTCTCTCTCTCTCTCTCTCTCTCTCTCTCTCTCTCTCTCACACACACACACACACACACACTTGCTGTCTCTTGGATGCCCTGGGTGGGCAACGAGTCTCACTTTTACATTTGCTCCCTGGGTGGGCTATGGGTCTCACCTTTGCTTTTCTACGAGCATCTCTTAGGCTCCAATGGGATCCTCAGCATGCTGCTGGCCTGGAAGATATACAAGATTATCCAGAGATGGTCTCTTAAGGTTGCTCCCAAAGGACACATTGAGACAAGCCAGGCGCTGGCACCCACACTCTTAGCTCTGACACCATCTTCACTGTCAACAGGAGGTACACCTTAGGGTGTGTCTGTGAGGAAGTTTCCAGAGGTGTGTACCTAAGGAAAAGAACCTACCCTGGATGTGGGAACACCCTCCCATGAACTGGAGTTGCAGGCTAGACATAAAGGCACTCCTTCTGTCTATCCCAAACCGCTTAGACATGAGGGGACCCAACTTAGTGTTGGCTACTTTCTTATTACTAGCTTAGTGTTGGTTACTTTGTTATTATTGTGACAAAATACCAGACAAAAGTGGCTTAGAGAGGAAGGAAGGGGACACTTGTCCTGGCTCACAGTTTGAGAATGCATCCATTGTGGTGGAAAAGGCTTGGGCATGGAGAGCCTGGGGCAGCTGGTCCCATTGTATCTGCAGTCAGGGGCAGAGAGAGGCGAATGCTCATGTGTTCTGCCCACTTTCTCCAGCCTCAGAACATTCCATCCACAGTTAGGTGTGTCTTCTTACTTTAAGAACCCAATCCAGCTGGGCATTGGTGGTGCACGCCTTTAATCCCAGCACTTGGGAAGCAGAGGTAGGTGGATCTCTGTGAGTTCGAGGCCAGCCTGGTCTACAAGACCTAGTTCCAGGACAGCCTCCAAAGCCACAGAGAAACCCTGTCTCGAAAAACCAAAAAAAAAAAAAAAAAAAAAACAATCCAACCTCTGACCCTCTCCAGGTACAAGCCTAAGTGATTCTAAGTCCCGTGTACTTGACAAAACTGGCCATCACATTCCTTGAACTCCAGCCAAAACAAACACTTCCCTCTTTAAGTTATTTTTGCCAAGTATCTCATCATAGCAATGACAAAGGTACCCAGCAAATACACGGACAGTAGCATGAAACCACCACCACACCTTCTTGATGTTTTAGTTTTGATGTGTGTGATACATGGATGAACTTGCATGGGGAGACCAAAGGTCAATGCTAGGTTTTCTTTTTTTTTTTTTTTTGAGACCAGGTCTGGAGCTCCCCAATTCTGGGAGACTGGCCAGTGAGCCCCAGGGATCCTCCTGTCTTTGCCTCTCAGTTCGAGCATTGTGGGTATGTGTTGTTACACCTGGCTTTTTTATGTGGTATCTGGAGGAATGAACTTGGGTTCTCACGCTCTTGTAGCTACAACTTTACTACACTGGGCTACTTCCCTGGACCCACGCTTCTTCCTGTTTCTCTTCAAAACATTTACTTGTTTGTTTGTGTGTGTGCATGCACTCACTCTCGTGCATGCGCCCATGTGTGTACCTGCCTGAATGCATGTATGTGCACCACATGCCTGAAGGAGGCAGTGGATACCAGAAGAAGGCATCCGATTCCCTGGTAATGGAGCTACAGACAGTTGTGAGCCGCCACACGCAAGCTGAGCTCAGGTTCTCTGCAAAAGCAACAAGCCCTCATAACCTCTGAGCCATCTCCCGCGGCTCTCCAGCCCCAGTTTCTCTTGTAAACACTTATTTGGACAAGTCTGCCAGAAAGGCAAGAAAGTAACCATCGCATTTCAGAACGAGGTCTTGTTTTGACAATCAGAACCCTGGAGGTTAATCTTGTAGAGAAAGGGGCTACTTTTTCCCAGTGGGTGATGCTTCCAAACAGTATGAGAGGTCATGTGGAAATGTGTTCTATCTTCTCTCCCATATCACCAACATTTATCAAAAAGGCAAACACTCTTTTGATTCTTTTATTGACAGTCTGGGTGACGCGGTCTTCAGATGTCTCTTACTGTGCTTCTCGGAGAAGAAAGACCGCTCTGCAAAGGTTTGGCTGCCATTCTTTTGACATCCACGTTTTATCCCACCGCTCATGCGCACACAACACAGGCTGTGACTCATGTTCACACACATGGGTGTTTTCCCTTTTAGGCTATTTTAAGAATCACTGTTCTATTCTGAAGGAAGCATAGGCCGTCACCAGAAAGAAAGAAGAGAGGAAGGAGCATGCTGCAGAGCCCCGGAGCTCCAGGGAGTTTGACCCAGGGCAGAAGAGCAAACACTGTTCCGGCTTCCCCAAACCCGTTACAGTGCAGGTGTGGCAGAGCCCATGCCTCACCCCTGTGCACAGGGTTCGGTAGGAAATGCGGCTCACAGTGCCTAGTGGAAACGGTTTTATATGTTATGATTGCCTCCCAAACCAAACCAAACCAAACCAAACACAACAGGAAAAAGATAAAATCTTGAAAACTTAACATTCAAATGTGATGTGTGTTTACCTAAGGAATATTCTAGTGTGCTAATTGTCCTGCATAAAAGGCCCTGCCTGTAGGACCACTGGGTGCATGGGACTCCCTGGGACCTAGGGAGTGGGTACACAGAGGTGTCTCCCCTTCTGATGGAGGGTCAGGCATGTTTTCGTGTAGCTGATCTAGAAATGCTGCGTATCCCATAAATATAAACCCGGCATGCACTGCTGTTAGCGTTGGAATAGCATCATGGGATTGTTTCTTTAAAAAAAGTCCCCTTTATAGGCACTTTCTCTATTAAGTTTACAGTGAAGACAAATGCACGGGCTTAAACTTCCAGGCTGCAGTATGAGTCCTTCAAACCAGACTTTGTAACAATTTCTAAAGTTGCAGGTAATTAAGCGTGTGGAAGTGGGTTCCGCTTCGGTGCCCTCCCTGTAATTCAAACAGTTTGCATTCAAATTATGTTTCCCAGTTTCGCACTTGGTTGATAAGTTGATTTGTATGCCGCGAGCTGTCATCTCATCAGCACCATTTATAAAGATAGGATTCTTGGGGATAAACAAGTATGTTTGACGATTGCCCGGGAGGGCCCCCTGGGAATAGGTGATTGCTGAGTAAGCACCCTGTTCCTCACGGTCTCGGAGAGCGCTCCTGAGACTCCACGGCAGTCTAACTTACACAGAGCGTGGTATCAGCCATGGAGAGCTATGGCTTCGCCCACGGCTTTCTACGTGGATTTAGTGAAGGTGAAGTTGGGAAGTTAAACCTGGAAAAGCCCAGCCCACGTGACCATCCGGCTGGATTCCTGCTGGGACGGGAATCCAAGACAAGGGGCTGTACTCTCTTCCCAGCGCGGACATTTGCATCCGCCAGGCCCTGAAAGCACCTCTCCCTGGGTGCCCAGCGGCGCGCGGGCGCTGCAGGTTTCCGTGGGTGCCTGAGAAAAGATCTAGAGACCGCATCTGTAATCTGCAGCCTGTGTTTGTGCGTGTGCGTCATGTATGTGCTTATATGGCCAGGGAAGATGAAACGGCTAAGAAGGTAGGCGTCCACGTGTTTCCCGTGCGGGGTGTGGTCAGGAGCAGTGCCTGAGTGCAGTCCCTCTACACGTCGAACCAGTGATCACCCATGCAGGCTCGGTTCCACTCACAGCCGCAGTTCCAGCACCATTCCAGTCTGCACTGAGGCTGCGGACACTTCATGTGCATACACCCTCCTGCGGGGACAAAGGACACAGGTGATGTGGGTTTGTGGCAAACACCGGAGAGCCCTTACCCCATGCCAGCACGCTAGCCCAGAAATTACTCTTGTAGACAATCCAGAGCCTCGAGGGCAGAGAGACTCTGAACCAGGGGAACAATTACACACAAGAGGAGGTGACCCCCCCCAAGTAAGAAATGATGAGAAATGGCATGGACCCAGGGCTCTTTGTCTTCAGAACAAATCCCATTAACACATCCAAGTTTCTCCTCTTTCCCTCATAAGCTTAGTCACAAATGGTTTGTGTTTCATAGACTGCTGATTCATCATTTAAAAAATATAGCCATATTAAGCCATTTTTAAATACCTAATAAGTATTTCTTAATATATGATACGCTGTGGTTCATATCTTCCATATTTATTCAGTGCTACTTGGTTCAGCAAAATGTATAAGCAGGAGTTGCGACAGCATATTACTTTTAATAGAGGATGTGTTCCCTGATGGTATTTAAATTTTTATTAAGGTGAGAGGGGAAGGAAGGGAAGCCGCCATGCTGGGATTGTGGCTCAGCTGGTAGTGTGCTTGCCTGACGTACATGGAACCCCGGGTTTGATCCCCGGCTGTATACACCAGGCATGGTGGTGTACACCTGTAGTCCCCCCAAACTCAGGAGGTGGAGGAGGAGGATTGGGAACTCATGGTCACACTGAGCTATACAGTGTGTTCCAGGCCATCCTGGCTTCCATGAAACCTTGTCTTAAGAAGTCAAAAGGAAACAAAAGAAAAAAAAAAAAACAAGAAGAAAGAAAAGTGAGAAAGAACTCTCAGGTCAAGTGTCCTCCATATCCTTTGTTACTCTAGGTTGATGACGCTGAGGCTGGAGCGTGGCTCTGCTGGAGATCGTTCTCAAGGTGAGGGAGTTCTGCCAAGGGTGCAGCTGAGACACCCAGTGTTCCTGGAACCCCCCGGGGGCTGCCTTGTCCGCAGAGACTGGCAAGCCCCTTATCGAGGGACCTGCTTTGGGATCCCCGACTCCCTCTTCAGCTGGTGTTGGCTTCTGGGAGATGCAGGGGGAGCTGAAGAGAATTGTTTGAGATCTCGGCAAGGCAATCTCTCTGTAACTCGACCGTCGTAGGTGGGCTCGGCTACCCACTCTCGCCAGTTATCTTGTTAGCTTATCAAGACATCCAAGAGTTGCCTCATAAGGGCTTTTATTAACAGAAATCGCTCACAACAGCTAACACAGCTCTAAAATAGTTCTGTGCCTATAGGTATTTGTCTTGGGATAACACATTTAAAGTTTCCCACTTGGTTATGATTTGCTTGAAGCATAATAAAAGATCATAGATGTATGAAAAATAAAATAAAGAACTTAAAAATTTGAAAACTACTTGTCATCAAAGGCAGGGCTGTTTTTGGCACATGTGAACAGCAGTGTCTTAGCATGTACATAATACAATAGGATAGTGATTCTGTAACATGTGCCTGGACTACAGATCGAGTTCTAGGACAGGCTCCAAAACTACACAAAGAACCCTGTTTTGAAAAAAAATACACACACACACACACACACACACACACACACACACACACACAAAGCCAGGTTGGTGATGGTGCATGTCTTTAATCCCAGCACTCAGAAGGCAGAGGCAGGTGGATCTCTGAGTTTGAGGCCAACCTGGTCTACAGAGTGAGTTCCAGGGCAGTCAGGGCTATACAGAGAAATCCTGTCTCAAAAAACGGAAATATAGTGGGTGAGTGTGTGTGGGTCAGAGGCTACCTTGAGGAAGTCAGTTCTCTCCTTCAACTACAGAGGTCTCAGGGGTCAAACTCAGGTCATCAGGTTTGGTGGTGAGTGCCTTTATCTGCTGGGCTATCATGGTGGCCTGAGACTTTGACTCTCATATATAAATAATAATCATAATAAAAAGATAGCAACCAAGTAATACCTAAGGTTGGCCTCTGGTCTCCTCCACTCACATGCACATGAACACGTGAACTCCTGCACATACATGTGCCTGAACACACACACACACACACACACACACACACACACACACACACACGCACGCACGCACACACACAGACTCAAACAAAAAAGAAAGCAGAATGGTTCTGTTTCCCTACAGGAAGAACTGCTTTCCTGAATGCGGAGCTGGCCCTGAGCGGAGCTGGGAACTGTACAGTGCAGCTGGCCCTGGGGCCGGTATCTGGTGTAGGGCTGCTACAGGGTAAACATGGGGGCGATGCAGGTTCTCTGCAGTGTTTCAGGTCAGAGGCGAACATTCAGCAGGCCACGAGTGAGTGCTTCCCATTTGTAACCCATGACGGCATTTCTGAGAAATGACCCCGCTGGAAACCGGCTGTATCGGTGGATCACGTGGCTCCTCCCTCGGCTACACCTCCATGTCTGTGGTGTGGCCTGGGTCTCAACAGAGCCGATGGGTGATTCCCTTCCAATGGTTCCCTGTCTAAGGAAATCAAGCTTGAGCCCCTTTTACAGCCCAGGGGCAGTGATCACACCCCACCGTTTTTGCACACGAGGTCCTCCGCTTCTTCCTTGCCTGGGTCAGAAATGGTCTTGTCCTATTTAGCTTGCGCTTTTCAAGTCTGTACAGTGGGCCGCTGGGCCCTGTCCATTAGCAGCCACTTAATTACTTAATTCTCCCTTCTGACAAGGCCGTTCACATCTTTTTTCTCTTTCCCTCGTCACTTGACCACAGTCTGGGAGTGGTAGTCTCTCTCTCTCTCTCTCTCTCTCTCTCTCTCTCTCTCTCTCTCTCTCTCTCTCTCTCTCTCTCTCTCTCTCTCTCCCTCCCTCCCTCTCTCCCTCTCTCCCTCTCTCCTCTCTCTCCCTCTCTCCCTCTCTCTCTCTCTCTCTTTTGGTTTTTCTGAGACAGGGTTTCTCTGGGGCTTTGGAGGCTGTCCTGGAGCTCGCTCTGTAGACCAGGCTGGTCTTGAACTCACAGAGATCCGCCTGCCTCTGCCTCCCAGCGTGCTGGGATTAAAGGCGTGCGCCACCACCGCCCGGCCTGAGTGATGGTCTCTTTTTCCACTGACCCTCGAGCTCTCCGCCAGTTCATGGTAACCACTGCCCTTTTAGGGCCATCCTGATATGCGAAGAAACAGGGAGGGCCACCAAATGATTTCTTTCCCCAGGAGTTAGGGACTCAGAGTTTGGGACTTGGGCTGAGCTAAGCCTGCCCCTGCCACCCTGGAAGTGTCGGCACACTCTTGTTGGTGTTGATAAAGGGTTTTGTTTTGTTTTTATAAAGGCTCGAGTGTTTGATATAGGTTCATCAGCTTTCATTCTGCAGCCAGCTCTCGGCACCTGCCAACCTGGGTGCAGCCAACACCCAGAAAAACAGGCAACATGATCCTACAGCACACGGCCCTCGGAGAAGGGCCGGTCACCAGGGAGGAAGGGAAGGCCACAGTGCTCACCGGCTAGTGTCTTGTCCCAAGCTAACCCTAACACCCCACCCCACTCCCTATACACATTACCGTCTCAGCCATGTAAATGCTGAATGTTTGCCTAACACAGCTGTGGGACCCCTCATCAAAGTTCCCGTCTGACCAGAACCAAGATTATGCTGGGCAACATTTCCTGAGAAGACACACGAATGTGCCCCATGCAGATGTCATCCTCATTCAGCCTGACGGAATGCAACAGACTGAGAGCCAAGTGGCCTTGGGCTGTCTTCAGCCTCTTAATAGTCACTTGTCACTGGCTTCCGTACCTGACCTAAGGGTTTCATGTCTGTTAGGCAAAACTTTCAGAACTGGTCATACTGGTGAACTTAGCACCCCACTGGCATTTTCCAAGCCTCAAGCTAAGGCTGCCACCCGGCATTACCCGAGGACCTTACTGGTGTCCTCCCTGCTCTGCTGTATCCAACCCATATGATGTCCCCGCCAAGCTATCTGGTAAATTCGCCAGTTTCTGATTTGTTGTTGTTGTTGTTCAGTGACTCTGAAGTTCATGCATGTAGTCTCTTCCACAGTGGAACGTGTCATTTGGGGCAACTCGAATCTGTGTTCCCACATCACAGTCACTCAAGTTTGGCTCAGAAGAAACTCTTTTTCCCTTGGTGGGGAGGGGGGAGAGTTATGTTTGGCATCAGCAGTGGCTCTCAGGGTGTGAAACTTGCCTTGGTTCGTGTGTCCCTGCTGCAGTGAGGTAACGCCCTACAGGACGCTGGCGCCTGGTTCCTCTGTTCAGATGTCATCTGCATGACACAGTCTTGCTGTGGACTAGGGGAGAAGTGCTGCACACAGTGTGTGCCCTGAAGGGTGCTTGGCAGCACAGAGGCCTTGCAACCATAGCCCTCTTGGGAGACCTTCCCACGAGCTTAAAAACACAGGTACTGGGCAAGCATCCTTGGCAAGTCCCCTCCATGCTCAAGGCAGAGCCGATCTATACTTGAAGGACATGGTTAGCAGACACCGGTCATGGGAGAGTTGAGTTGATTTCTACTCTCTGGGAGAGCCAAGACCTCAAGCCCATGAACACAGGAGGTGGGAAGGGCGAGGCCGCACATTTCAGTTTAGGTGCTCTGGGCTTTCCCATGGGCACATGGCTCCAGTGTTGATGAGACCAGTGGAGTCAGGAAGGGACAGTCCTTCCTTCGGGGGACACAATACCAGTGCTTTAGAAGGTCGGTGAAGAGGAACCATTGGAACGTGAGTGGGCATGGTTTTGTCTGCTGACTGCAGGATGGAACATTCTAGGAAAACTTGTCCTGCCCTCACTGTATTTCCTTCAGAGATATGTTCAGCCGTTTTGGACTCTTAAGAGTCACAGAAGATTTGCTGGGTGGCAGAAGGAAAAGTCCCTTTCCAAAGTCCAGGCATGTTGACATCTGAATGGAGGAGCCAGGCGCTAGTGTCTTTCAAGGCATAGCCTCCCTTGCAGCAGGGACGCAAGAACTGGAGTGAGCTCCAGCCACTAAGGGAGAGTAACAGGAGTGACGGGGTGTGCGTGCAGAGCAGGGGGAGGGTAAAAAGAAACGTTTGAGGAAAGGCTGGTTAAATAAATCTACCCGTTTCTTTACCAGAGAACTTCTGAAGTGCTTGACCACATTGATTATCCACTGGGAATGTCAGCCCTAGGCCTGCTTCCTCAGGTAGCCTGTGAAGAGCAGACGCTCTATCCTTACAGAGGACTTGGGGTAGGTATTTAGTGAGCACAATGCACAAATGAACTATTTTTGTTATTATCATCCACGAGGGGGAGAGGTTGCTGCCGTCACCTGACAGATGGAGGTGACAGGGCAGTGCTACTTGTCCCCCAATCTGGGCTCTGGGGGCCTGGGAGGACACTTTGTGGGGATACTAGACGTTGCTGTTGTTAGCAGAGTTGACTCATCAGATGGCAAGTATCTGATGTCATTAATAAGAAGGGGCACTAGCGTGTCTTCTCTGTTCACTGGCATTGGAATGAGCTCTGCTAAGCATAGTGTCACCCGCTGCTGGCCACCATCTCACCAGAAAGTTTCACTTATCACCTCAGCTCCCAGTCCAAGGATGGAATTTCATCTCGCAGAAACCGCCTAGGACACTGCCACTGTCTCCAGCCTCACAATGTGTGTTAGCATGGGAGAGCACTCCAAACTTCCGGAAAGAAACTAGGGTAGCTGTAGTGGAATTTGGCGTTGTGAGGTTGAGAAATTTCATGGTGAAGAACAGATACACTCTACCTAGCCAGCCTCAAGCTCTGTACCCTCCCAGAAGCCCCGACTGCCACCCACCCGAGGCCACCACGCGGGAGGGGACAGGCAGGCCTGGCTCTCCTCCCAGTTCGCACTCACCGTTTTTTTCAACTGGGACATTGCAGCGAGGACAGGGCTTAGTGGTTTTCTTGATGGTTTCCTTAGAGGCCTCCTCCCAGCGAGCTTGCTCAGCGGCCCTTTTGTCTACTCGGTAGGCCTGGATCAGGACAAAAGAAGCTTAAATTCGGGTCCTTATTATTGGGGTTGAAGTTACAATCTTTGAAGGGCTGGTGCAGACACTTCTGAAAGATGGAAAGCGCCCTCAGGCGAGAAGCTAGAATATGAACTTGTTTGACAAGTGCTGTGCGCCCTTTGGACATGTGTGGGTGCTGTGTTCTTGGCACATGGCGCATGCTTATGAGTTAAGAATAGATTGCTCAATTTTATAGCATGGAGTTCTGTGTTCTGGGGATTTTGTGTGATTGTAATGCATAATACCCAGCAAGTGGCTACCATGTAGGCAAGTGATAAACACTTTAACACGCCTCTCCTTAGACCCTTTGTCATGTGAGAGCACATTCGTTGTCATTTCTGAGGCTTCAAGGCACTCACAGTGACCAGACGTTGGGGAGTGGGAAAGTCTTTGTGATTCTACGATTTCCACTTTAACTCCCTCCTGCATCTCGAACCCTTTCTTCTTGCCCTGGAAAATGGGGGACTCGGAGGCTATCCCAGAATGCACAGGAGAACACAGTGATGACGGAGAGGCCGACTTTAGGACAGTGGGCTCTGGAAGCAGCTCCCGGGCTCACATCACTCAGAGGGAAGACTTTCGCAAGGACTGCTCACCCCCTCTGAGAGTCCTCCCAGGTGGAAATAAAACATGGGGTGCATTTTAAGATGAGTATAGAACTTGTGTTGTTGGCTGATAATTTAAATTCCTCCAGGATCTACAATACAGTAAGCCATGGTGCATTTGGCACTGCCATTCATTCTGTCAAGTACTAGATCATCCTTAACTTTTAGCTGCCTGCCTCCTCCCCACCCCAAGAAAAAAATTGTATGTTGAAAACCTAATGCTTTTAAAAACTGACCAGGACATCCTCAGCAAGAGAAGGGACCCCAAAGGAACTCTTCCAGACAGGTGCTTCATTCCTGCCTGGTTCAGACACTATGATACGTTCCACTCACTTCAAGTACTGGCTGACAGGTGTAAAGGAAGAATGAGTCATTTTAGATTTAGTATAAATGTGTTGTAATCTGGGACTGTATTTCAAAATGTTACTCTAAATAGAGCCCCTCCACCTTGGCCACTATGGCATCTGTCTGTCTGTCTGTCTGTCTGTCTGTCTGTCTGTCTATGTATCTATCTGTGTATCTATCTATCTATCTGTCTATCTATCTATCTATCTATCTATCTATCTATCTATCTATCTATCTATCTACCTACCTACCTACCTATCTATCTATCTATCTATCTATCTATCTATCTATCTATCTATCTATCTATCTATCTCCCATCCATCCATCCTCTGTGCATTAATACAAACATCCCAGTTGTTTTATTAACTTGCAATGATGATTTAGAAAAACATTCCCAGGGCTACTCGGTAGCACTGATGCTGACTAAACCCAACAACTGTGGAGCCTGGAAGGCTGCCAGCCCATGCACAGATGCTCACTAGCAAGTCTCCAGCCCACAGCAGCAACTGGGCTTGTGAACCAAGCCCTGCGGGGGGCCTGTCCCCTGTCAGCAGAGGTGAAGGGTTGCAGGGCTGGCCGCCTATTCTTAGAAGCTGCTGATTGGGACCCCCACCCCCAGTTTTCACAGTGCATTTGGGTCCCTGTTGAGACCCAAAGTCTGCGGAGTGGAATCTAACCTCGAGGAAGGAACCTGCCTTCACCTTTGTGTTCTAACCCTTAGTTTTTAAAATTCCCAGTCCTTATGAACGAAGTCCTATGACGGGAACAGCTATTTCTTTCTAAGCTACAGCATTTTGCTGCTTTTTGTAGGGACCTCGATGCTTACGTTTCTGTCATTTCTAACAGAAGGTGAGTTCTTCTAGACTGAGGTCATGCTTGAGTCATGCCTGTGTTTCCGGCCCTTGGCTTGGTGCCTGGGTAAACAGCAGGAACTCGGTTGATTTTTAGCTAGTAAGTGACAGTCATCTGGAATAGGACCCCACAAGACAGGTGTACACAAGGGATGCATGCACCCTTGATGGTGACAGTTGGCCCCAAGGTACCCTTGCCTGTGGGGACACCAGACCTTGTTCAGAGACCCATTTCCCCATCAGCCTGGGAGTAGGCAGCTGAAAGACAATGTTTACTAAAAACATGTTTACTAAAAACAATACAATGCCCAGGGCAATAAGTTCCTGAAAAGGCTGGCCCATGGGAACCGCCCTGACCTCGACCTTGTCCAAAGACTAACCGCCTCTTCTGACACACCAAAACCAGTTTTTGGTGTCAGAGAGAACCAGCCAGGGGTAGAGAGAGAGAGCAGAAGCTTTTCTGGAGGGAGGCCTTTCTTGGGAAGTTTTCTTGAGCCTTTTTGGGGCCTGCTTAAAGTTTTCTTTAACCGTTGAACGAGTCTCTGTGTTGTCAATCCCCGACACCCTCCACACATTCTCGGACACAGGCTGCTGCAGCTGACAAGGCACTTGCCAAGTGCTTGTGGCTGGAACCACGCCCATTTCCTCTGGCCATGGGAAGGGACTCCAGTGAATGGGAGCGCTTTGTTAGGGGAAGCAGTGTGGGCTTGATCACTGAGAACTTCCTTTAGCTCTGACACACCTTACAGATCGAGGCCCGGGAGCTGTGGTTGATGAGGGCCGTTTCAAGATCTGCCCCAGACATGCATTTTGACTTTAACATGTGTGGTTTCAGTCTGTCCGATGCACATGTGGTCCTAAGGCCTGGCGATTGCAGTGGTTACTTCTCATTGTCAACTTGACTGCCGTTAGGCTCGCCTAGGAAACACAGCTCTGCATATGGGGGGCTGTTTCCACAGAGGCTTAGCTGAGCAAGGAAGGCTCATGCTGAATGTGGGTGATACCATCCCAGGAGCTCGGGGCCTAGACTCAACAAAGATGGAAAAGGAGGAAGGAAGCTAAATTCCGGCACTTACCACCATGATGAACTTCATCTCTTCAGACTATGAACCAAGTAAATCTTCCCTTAATTGTCTGGGGCTCTCGGAGAGAGCGCTAACCCGTGTTTCCCAAAGTGGGTGGCTGGACATGTGTATCTGCTTTATATATTATGGTGTGAAAAGTAGGCTGCTTACACAGTTTCATAATATATGTGACTGGCTATAGAGATATAACTTTAAATTCTCCCAAGAAGCCACATTTGTAGAAAAGATTCTGCAGGGGCTGATTGGCCACCCAGAGCTTCTCAATTACAAAGAGACAGAATATTACAGGTTCAGAGCCAAAATGATTTGGGCTGTTGTCAGTCTCCTTAATAGCCATTTATTACTGGCCTCTACATCTGGCCCAACGCTGACTATGTTGTGATAGTAAAAGAAAACTCCCTTTTGAGCTGGACACACATTCTAAATTCCTAAAATGACCCATGCAAACCCACTCATCGCTGTGTGAGTGACGGCTTCTCACCAGCCGAGGGAAGGGAAGCAGTTTGCCACTTAGCTGTGTATACCACAACAAATACAGGAGGACTGTGGTGCCTGCCTTCAAAAGCCTTCCTGCAGCCTCTTCTGCACGGCAGGCCTTCTACGCAGCTGTGCTCCTGCCAGCAGTAATTAATACATTCCTTTAATTATAATTTCAATTGACTCTGTAGACATTTCCCTGTGGATTCGAACTCCGTAACACGATCAAACCTTCAGAATGTATTCTTGGCAGACCACAGACTTCAGCAGGCCCAGAGCTAAGCTTGCTGTAGGATAGCATTTGAAAATGGTGACAGAGATTTCCTACTTAGATGTACCCTGTCCATCTGATGCTACTACCAACATATTTGGTAAATGCATTGTCTTATCACTTATATTTTGTTTTCTCTTGTTTTTGAGACAGGGTCTCATGTAGTCTACACTGGCTTCAAACTCACTACATAGTTGATGCTGGTCTCGAACTACTGATCCTCCTGCCTCTAACCCCATCCCCGAGTACTGGGATCACAGGGCTGTACCATTATGCCATGACCAGAAAAGTACATGTAACCTTTTCCATAGCAACACAAGTCATTGAGCACACCCAGGATTGCCAATCCTAGCCTTGGCTACTTATATTTGACTCAGAATAAACTCTCTGTTACACCCTTTAGGGAAGGAGCTGTTATATGTGACCTGTTTTATATTATATATATACATATATATATATTCACACTGAACAATTTACAATACCAAATAATCTTATAAATGTGTGAGGTCAAAACTATAATGAAGTGAAGTTCTTAATTTCTTATCCATATGGACAGACAGACGGAGGACTAGGCTGCAGTACCACGGGGCTGACTGACCCTGCTAACCCTGCCTTGCCACCTGAATTTGCTGCGTGCCAGGGGACCTCTCCCACGGACAGATCCAGGGTCCAGTGCTGCTGCCACCAGGGCCGAGGTCACAGCTACCCTGCTAACCAGAGGCAACTGTTCCCACCGGTGAACTGTTCACGGGGGCAGCCTGGGCTACTGGAGTAGGCTGAAGTGGGGTAGGGTGAGAGTTGTGTAGTGAAGATGTGGCCAGGAAACCTGGAACTGAGACAGCCTGCCTGAGAAAGGTTCCCACCACCGCCGGGGCGAGCTGCATGGCAGAGGTAGAAGCCAGCTGTGGGAGCCAGTGGGTTGTGGAACCAACCCTTCTGGCTTACGTCACAGAAGGCCCTGCCCCTGGAAAGGTCCATCCCCAGTTCACCAGGGGCTAGATGCTAACCCTCTGCAAGGGGCAGGGCGGCTTCTGGTAGAGAGCAGTCTGGGCTCAGAAATCCTTCTGCTTGGAGGGACACCTGTGACGAGTCTGAACTGCTTAGACCCGCAGTGTCGTGTCGTGTCCCCCCCCCCCCGCCGCCTGTGGAGACTGACAAAAATGACCATCTAAGGGGAGGGGAGGCGGACCTAGCAGCTCACTGAGGAACGTGTACTGACAAAGGGCAACTTGGTAGTTGCTCAGCTTTCCTGTCGTTTTTCATTATCTACACCCGTGTATCTTTTTGTCGAGCGTCTGTGGTTTGCCCTCTGTCTCGCCGGAAGACTTCC